GGAATATATAACATGGATCATGCAATTTTATGGAATGCATGATATTTATTTTATTTAAATATATTGATGGAAACATGGTTTAAGGAAAGGGCGATAATGGTTCAAGCACCTTCTATAATGTTGATGGCCCATCTATGGAATGGATGTCTCAGATCTCTCACACCACAAGTCACTTTGATCAACAGTCTGGATTCAATCTCATGAAAGAGGCAAACTATGGAAAAACCCTTAGAAACCCTAAACCTAAAGAGACACTATAAATAGGGGTGCTCTCCCCCAATCTTTACACACAACCTCTCGCTCTCCCCCATAACCTCTCTCTCACCTCTCTCTCTCTCTCTCTTAGAGGGGCACACCCTACTCTCTCTCCTCCATATTTCTCTCTCTAAATTTTCTCTCTCCAAAACCTTAGGTAACACCCTCTCTCCTCTCTAGACCTAAGTTAATTTGAAGGGTTGGAAAAATTTGAAAAGGGCTTAAGTTAATTTTGGGGATTAAGGTTTAGTAAATATTTTATTTGGTGGTTACCTAGTTTGGCCAAAATCAGCTATCCCAGTTTGAGATTGAAGCTAGACCACAGATCCCACGCCATTAGATGTAGTAACTCGGTGTGGGGTGTAAAAAGCCCGGTTGAGGTAATTCTTCGGCATCTTTTCATTTATTTGTTTGTTTATTTATTTTATATTTTCAAGCACAGTATTAAGTTGTACGAATGACATCAAGTAGTTGAGATTTATTTTATTGACGAGTTATTTATTTTTGGAATATTTATTGTTTGTAATAAAATCATTTGTGAGTTATCTTGTTGCCAAAATTATAAGGGGTGATTATCATTTAAAAAAAAAAAATTGTATTCCCCGGCAAAAAATCACATAGGTCTTTCTTTCAAACTCTACATGTGGTATCAGAGCACAAGGTATGTACAGGGCTAATATTTGTATTAAGAAAATAGTAAGCGGTGAAGTTTGATGGATGCATGGTTTGAGGTGGAGAAATATGGAGGCAAAGTGTTTGTGAAAAATTCACAATGGAGGCAAGCGAGAAGAAATCAATAAATTTATTTAATGAAGGTAAGTAAGATGAACTTGGTGATTTTTCTATCAAGGTGGAGATTGTTAAGCTTGGTAACAGTCAAAATCACTACACCTATATTCTATTTACAAAAATTGAGAATATTATGAGAAAAGAAAAATAGGCTTCCTTGGTAAACAAGAAAGAAACTCAAGTGATCTCAATAAAAGAGGGTTAAGGAAGACATAATACCCATCATTTTAAGGGTCACCCCTTTGAGGGTTATGATAATAGATCTCAAAAGCTGGATATTGGTCTTTGAGATAGAGGCGGTATTCCCATGAGTTTTGGGTTAGTAAGGCTTTCACTTCTAGAGAGGAAAAAGTGATTTTTTTTTCTGTAGCAGTGAGAAAGAAGGCATTGATTGATGGAGTTGCTCAATCAAGAGATCGAGTTTAGAAGGGAAGATCAGTGGTCTTTTACCGATATTTAGAGATATGTATAATCTTTTGTAACCCAAAGCTGTAATCTTCATTGAGATGATAAATTTCTACTTGCCAAGGCCGTAGATGTAGCCTTACGAGGTGAACCACGTAAATCTTGCGTTGTGGTGGTGTGTTTTTTATATTTGCTGTATATAACGCACTCAATTTGTAGTTGTATTCATCTATTTCGCATTTAGCCAATCATGTACACGATATTGGGTGGGACCTCGATACTTGGGATTCCCGGTTCCGCAAGCAAGAGGTTCTCGAGATCCCTACAACACTATCTTAAAAGATATGTCATGTTTTGTTACTATTTTAATATGTAAAATCTATAATATCTAATTAATAATATATAGTACATAACTTTAACCTTGCTTTTACAAATATGGTTGCAACCTAAAAATCAAGCTTTGGTTTAAATGTTTAGTAGTTCACTTTAACAATGCTACATTTCAAGTTCAAACATTATTAAAAAAAAGAAGAAGTGAGTACGTAGCATCATAAAAGCAACACTATGGGGAATTGGGGAAAACTCTTTCCAACACCTATAGACGAAAATGAATAGTGATTTCGTCTACCCTCTTTACCATCCAAATTTTATTGCACGGACACAGTTGTTCGGAGTGTTTTAATTTTCAGTTTTTTTTTACAAATCTAAATTACTTGACTTTTGGAGCGTATGTACATCTTAGTGAGGCGCATTTAATAAAAATATGAAAAAAATAATTCGTAAAATATAAATTAACCAAATACCTACAAATTAATAGGTATTTGTTATTATATTATGTATATATTATTTTTCTTATATTTTATTTAGTTGTCGTCTCTACTAAGATGTACACACGC